CGGCAGCGTCGCCGCCTCGGGACGCTGCCCAAAAACAGTGCGAATACAGCACATGGAATATCTTCAACAGCTTAGGCTCTCGCGTCAACAGGCTGATCACACTCCAGTGGTCTTGTGCGTCCGCAAGACGCGCCAGCTTGCCGATAATGTCGCACAACACGGCATCGTCCATCTTGGCACCGCGCCGCAGCAAGATCGACGCCATTACGGGGCTGCCGTGACATGTCGAAAGTGCCCAATCGAGACTCGTCGCGCCATGCGAGTCGCGCCTGTCAATGTCTACAAGACCCGAAGAAAGCAGCATCTCGACCTCCCAGCGGCGCCTCTCTCGAGACAGCTTCAGCAACAGAGGTCCTGTCCAGTTGCAGCGTGCCGATATGCAAACCCCCTCGTTTGGGTCAGCGCCCGATTTGAGGAGGAGTTCGATGAGCCGTTGCTTCGCCGATGCCGTCCTGCCATTCGTTTCTTTGACCCGGGCCAGGAGCGCGAGCTCGAGCGGCTTTTGATCGAATATACGGAGTGCTGGGTCGGCCCCCTCGACCAATCCGTCCAGCTCGCCCGTGGCGTCCGCTCCAGCCTTCAACAGTGCCAGGGCGGCGGAGAACATGCCGTCCTCGCACGCCATGCTGAGGGCCGTCATGCGCCATGTGTCGATCGTCGTAGGCTGGTTCACGTCGACGCCGAACTGCGCCAGCTGGCCTATGACTGTTTCTGGCGATGGAGACAACAGGGAGTGAATCAGTGGCGTGTCCCCGTTGTTGTCGGCCTCGTTCACTTCCATCCCTTTCTCGTCGACAAGGTACGTGATCACTTCGGTGAGCCCCGCGGCGGCGGCTTGGTGGAGGGCGTTAATTCCGAACTCGGAAGACTCAAGCCGTGCGCCGCGCCGAAGGAGAATCATGGACGTCCTGGCGTCTCCGCTGAGAAGAGATAGAAAGACGGGAGTACGTAACCGGCAGTCCGGGACCCCATCGATATCGGCACCGTGATGAAGGAGAAACGACACAATGTCAGCATAGCCTTTGGAAGACGCCAGATACAGGGCCGTAACGAGGAAAGGGCTATATCGATGGCTCTCGGTCATATACATGGTGGCCGGTCTATTGTAGTCAGCGCCGGCTTGGAGGGTATGCCGGAGCGTGGCGAGGGCCACCCGTGTATCTCTACAGTTGGCAATGGTGTTGAAAACGGCGGAGTATTTTCCCATTTTCACATCGTTTCTGTAAAGTTTGGGGTTGAAGAACGAATGCCAAGTGCGCGAGCATTGTGCGAATACGGACTGGTCATGGAGCTCGCTGTGATTGAAGACGTGCCACGCCACGTCTAGGGATATCGACTCTGCATGAATAGACTTCATAGCGAGTGGAGTCTGCCGTACTGAGCGACACGATGTGATCTGCGACGAAAGCACGGCATAGCAAGAACACGAGGCAGTCACGCTGTTGCTGTAGGCTTGCCGACCTCATATCCAACACAAGAATTCAGACTTCGTCACATGGGACGGCGCTTTACGCCAGAAGCATCTCATACATACATTGCAGATCCAGAGTTGACCATCTCGTTCAAGAAAGTTCTTACGTTCGGCTATTCGGGCGTTATGGTGCTTCCTTTGGTAATGAAAAAGGTATCTCGTTCATCCCCTGGGTGGACCACGAAACAAACTTGCGAATAGTCTCTGGCTTTTCTGGACACATCTTGAAGATACGGTAGCTTCAGAACTTCAGGCTATTCGAAAAGATTCTTATGGCTCTGGTCTGGGTGGACGAGGATGTCAAATGTAAAAGTGATGTTGACGCCGGCTTTCAACGCTTAGCCGCCCCTACAAAGCCGACGAAACCAAACAGGCCTTCACCATACATCGTATTCCGTCAGTGTCCAGACATTGTGACTTGGGGACTTAATTAGCTTACAGTACTGTGAAAGACACCTACAGCAAGCAACAACATATTCGCATGTACCATCAAATCGCCTAACCGTGGGATTCACACCAGACTCTTCCAACAGCCCGTGTTGACGTTTGGGAGCCGGAGGTATGCGTTCTCAAAAACGTGATCAGGAGTTATTTTGTACAGTTTTGATCATAAGTCACTTCCTCTCTCGCAAACATTCTCCATGTTTGAGAAACCGAAAGTTGCTGTGATGGGCCTCCGCAAATCTCTGGTAATGGCTGTAGCGGTTGGTTTCCAAACCAAAATGTGGGGTCGGGATGGTGTACGGCAGTGCGAGGGGCAGCTTGTAATCAAGAGCTACTCCAAAGCATCCATAACCAGCTTTCACAGTAGTCGCTCTCGCACTTCTGACCGTGGTCGCATGTACACAGTCAGAACGACTATGGGCCCAGCCTGTGTGGGTCAAGTCCAAAAAGATGAAGTGTGCTGCCAAGAGGAAGCAACATATGATCAATACTATACCGAAACGCTTTCCTCCTGTCAGACTGCCCCAGGACATTTGTTACGGTACTTGTTTCGCCCCAAGCGATCTGACTCATGCCTAACCAGAAGTATGAATAAGGCTAGCAAGGGTATCCTTATACAAGGGGATCATACACTCACTATATAGATATGGGGTTTCTTCCCATAGCCATTCATTCGTCGTACTCATCGATATACACAAACTGACCCCTGCCTGTCTAACTGTTGCTCGATACCCTCCTTTGACATTCTTTTCCAGCTCTGGACCCACATTTCAGAAGTCGAGATCCAGGAGCAGGGTTGGGAAGCTGCTGCCACTTCGTTGTTGCAGGTTGCTCCTGGCGTTATTACGAGGATCTCGCTTGCCGGCTAGCCCATCTAGAGCATCCGCTTTGGCTCTCACCAGGTAGACTTCGGTTCTGGCTAGGCTCTCGAACCACACTCCCACACCCCGTTTGTATCACCGGCCACCCGTCTTGAAAGTTGCTTATGGCTTTTGAGAACCGCCACTTAAGACCTACGCCGTATTTTGCGTTTTGACCGGCGTTGTCTCCAGCCGCACGACAAGGATCTTGCTTCCCTGATGCCCTGTCTGCAGCATTTTGATCTGGCTTTTCGTAGGCCCATTTTGCTGTCGGATTTGGGATAGAGAGAAGACGTTCTTGGCCATGCGACTATGGCCGTGCCTGCCAGTATGGAGTAGTGTCGAGGCCTCGAGACTCAGCTGTGGCGTCGCGGCGACCAAGACGCACACGCCGTCGTGACTCCTGATGGATTGTACCCGGACATGAAAGCGGGTTTCTTCCCATACATCTTGTCTATTCTGTACGATCCATCACCCACTGTGGAGGAGCCCCTGTGGCTGGTCTGCCTAGAAACGCAACCACGGCGGAAAACCGCGGCCGCCATCAAGTTGTCTCGTCTGCTCTCCGAACATGCAGCTCTGGCATCATCCGCCTTCTATACTATCACTCTACGTGGGGCTACTTCACTTGACCTGGCAGTTGGAGCAACCAGACGAGCCCCACGACTGTACAGTCTGCGGTAGCTTCAACCTCTAGCTCTGCTCGCTGGCCTCAGACACATTGGTCCCAATAGACACGCTCGACAGAGGGTCTTGGAGTGATGATACGTTGCATTCGGAGACATTTGTTTGCCTGGCGCTTGTTTGGGAAGCAGTATGCGCACACTCATGACATGTGGGTCTCAAACGTGCCGTGGTCAACATTTGGTGCAAAGGAACCGTCCACAAGCATCATGTTTTCAGAACTGCACTCAATATTCTCGCCTTTGAGAAAGGCGCCGTCAAACGGAACGCCTTCTAGACAGAAGCTTCTACAAGACCATGTATCAAACTTCCTCCTCTGCGACTCCAGTGAGGAAAGCGACAGTACCAATCAGAGCCAGGGGCTTGTACAAGGCAATCCACATCGAGGGATGAGCTATGCGACTGGCACAGCATCTCCAGGCATCGCGGCTGAAATCAAGACCGCCTGCTCTGCAGCGGCTCGACATCCTAAATCAAGTAAGAGCGGGACAATGACTTCGTATAGAGTGGCACACGTCTATGAGGAAGCCTCCGTAGGACGGTCACTGCATCTCAGGACAGCCAGCCAAGATGGCGATATTATCACTGATTCTTTTGGCTGGAATTCGAATGACCCTTACGCGAGGTCTGCTGATTGCGGTATCCCCAGGCCAGACTCACCCACTATGGGAGAGGATTGTGGTTGCTGTAGTTGTATCGCCAGATCTTCTTATGATGGACAAGCATCGAGGTACCCATGAGTAGTGAGACAAAAGCAGGTTGCTGGCGAGAGGCTATGCGCCAAGTCCGTACATGAGAGTATGGGATTTCTCGTAGGAAGCTCAGGCTCGTCGGCATGCAGATCTTGACAAAGCCAATACGTCGCCCAGGTGTCCCCGGATCACTCGCCGCTTCTAACGTGGTGAGCGTGGATGAGCGTGGGTGAGCGGGGTGAGCGTGTGGGTAAGGAATCGGGTTACGGGAACGAAGTCACTGTTATCGAGACTTAGATGATCACCAGCTTTCCGTAACGATTGCATGCAAGTGTAATGGTTTCTTAAGCACTGTGAAGTACGGCTTTACCAAATGAAGTTAAGAGCTGCATGGGACTTCGGAGGCGCAGTCCTCTCGCCCAATGAAGTCCCAACACCACCTTAATTATGAGACTACTTGCGAGGCAGCAGCGTGGCGGTCAGCGTTGCCTACACAATGTACAGTTCATGGTGCCTTTTCAATTCGACATTCAAGCCCGCATTACTTCAAGCCTAGCCAGGGAGCTGGTACCTACAACATCTTGATGCTCATGCGGAGGAGGACGGCGAAACTTAGGTTAGGAAATTCGATTGCGGCGGCAAGGGCCCCCACCAACTATCAGAACGGACGCATCAGACAGTTTCCGACAGTCGCAATAGAACCATAAATGTCACCAAAATCTTCCCCACGGCAGACATGGTCAATTAAGGGCGTTACAGGATGGACGGAATCACGGCAGTAACAGTCATGTCAAAAGGGCACAAAAGTTGGCTTCATCACTGTACATAAAGAGCGGGGGCGCTGATACCAGAAACTTAGCGAAGTGGTCTATGCAAATACAATCAAGCATCGGGCTACGGACGCTACGGATCGTGGAAGGTCTTAATAGGGGTTAGTTAACTGGGAACGGCGAACAGCCCATCTCGTCGGCGACACACTGTGCAGCTAACACGGCAGCGGCGAGCTGGTTACAAGCAACTAGCTTTCCAGTTACTTCAGGTTGCTCGTCATAAACAGCAAAGTGTAGAAGATGGAACAAACAAAACAAAAGATCATGGCAGCAGCCGTGCGTGGCCAAGATCCCGTAAGCAAGGTAACCGAACAGCATAGACCCAATAGTTTAGGCACTGGAGATATAGTCTGTTCACATAGACTTCATTAGGTTACTTGGTTTGAGACCATTCATCGGCTACCCTTTGCTGCTGACGCCCCGGCGACCCCGTTCACCTTCAGTTACACCGTGTTGACTGTTGCGTCGCAATTTCCTCTTGGCTGGAAGAGCTCTTGCATCCTCAGCGGGCGAAATTTTTCTGGATGGTCGTGCAGCCCTTGCTTCTGGTGTTAATGGCGAACTGTGTTGGGAGATATCAGGCTCGATAGTTTTCCTAGAAGCATACGCGCGCTGCGGCGGAGCCCCAGCGGCATTGCCTGAACGTCATCCTCCTTACGCAAACTGCTAGCAGTGAGAATGTCGGGCTGTGTATCTTGGGCCGTGTCTTGATCCATTACCGTACTGGGTTGAGACTGCGTCTTTATGGCTGCTGATGAAAGTCTTGCGTTGACTGGCCTCCTCTCGCGAAGATCGAACATCACTCTCTTCCGGGCGCGTCTTTCCGGAGGCTCTTCATCGATTGCGAGTTTCTTCTTCGTCTTTCTTCCGCCACACTTATATTGATTCGTTGTGGAAAGGCTTGCCTCAGCCTTGATTGAAGGAATTTGTTCCAAACCCCATTGCACAAGAATTCGGTGCCGAGCGGCATCTCTCTTAGCGCCCGCGTAGTCGAATGTGGCCCGAACGAATTGTACGATGAGGAACGATTCGTTTCGGGCCTGCTCCAATCGTCGCCTTGCAGCAAGCAATTTCTCCGTGCCATATTTCATCATCGATACCCGCTTCTTTCTAGGGATATGCAAACGCTTCGGGTCCTCTTGGGTCAGCACATATATTTGCTTCGCTTCAGACTCTGCCCTTTTGTAAGCCTTCCTGGCTTGATGTTTCTCTCTCTGGCCCTCCATTCCTGAAGCAGCTGTGCGCACAAACTCTTCTGCCTCGTGAGGTTTGAGAATTTTCTTCTCAGCAAGTTCTTGCCAAGATCTATCGTGCTCTGGCTCCAAGCGTTCGATATCGCTGGTATACTTATCAAGCCACCAATACTCGTAGTTGAGGTACCCGATCCATGTCGACAGCCTGCCCTACTTCGTGGGGTCTTCGTCAAGTTCGAGTCGTTGTGTGAAGTCATGTGATGCAAGTCGGCGCTTCACCGATTCAGCATAATCGCGAAATCCTCAGCACCCGTGTTCTTTGCAGAGGCGTCGCTGTCGCTCACGTAGCGATTGTTGCACATCCCACCCCGACCTCAGGCATGACGGGTCCGCTTCGATCTCGGCCAAGCGTTTGGCGCGTGTTCTACGCAAATAATACCGCTGCATAATAAATTTCTGTCGCTCAACATAGGCTGGAAAGCCGCCGTCCTCCTCTTCACGATCTCGATTATCATATCGCCGCTTGCGGATATCCTGCCATCTCTGCAGCTGTCTCTGAAAATCGTCTTCTGCCCTTACTTGAGTAAGAGTTTTCTGCCAAGGCCGCAGCAATTCAGCGTAGTCGTCTGGTTGTCTGTGTACATTCTGAATAAGGTCGATGGGGTATGATGGGCAACCGCCGTTTCGGATAAGCTCGTGATAAGTCTCGGTTTCGAGTTCCGTCGAGTCATAGGGTGGTGTAGGAGACCTAGATTGAGCTACGGCTCCAGATTGTAACCTACTGGGCTCAGAAGATGTGGAATTGATTCAAACAACGTAAAGAGTGAGTGTCAATTTCAAGTAGTTCCACTAGCCGGGAAATGCCCGACAAAATAGAATTATTGTGTTCTCAGGCACGGCAGTCATGTTGAATGAGTCGCCTTTGCTCGATCTCAAGGCTTTAAACAATTTCGAGTTCATCCACTCCGGCGAAATCGATGGCACTTTCATAGAACCATCCAACACCAAGTCTCTCCAGGGGCGCATTGCGTTCAGCGAGAAGAAGCAGTACGTAATATCTGCGTCGCCCCTTCTGTTGGTCCTCGGCCTTCCCTAGTAATGCACACTGTAGCCCTTCAGACGTCTTAGGTGTTCTGTAATCAAACCAAGCGCGTCCGACCTCATTTCCTCCTTGGTGGTAAATTGTCTCCCTGTTGTCGTTGGTTCCAGCGAACGGTATGACACCTGAAATCTTCGCAACCCGAGCACTCAGACGCACCGCGTTCTCTGAAAACTTGATTGCAGTATCCCAGTCAGGATGTTCTCCAATATCCAGATAATCGATGGATCCTTCGTATGCCATCCAAGACCACGTCGGAGGCTTTTTGACTTTGATACCGCTAAAATCAATCGGACCAGCGGGAGTAATTAAATACCAGAGGAGGCTCTGCTGCGAGTATGGCGCAGCGCTGAAGATGCCATTTTCAACTCTTCCGTCGCTCGACCGTCCTAAGGCGAAAACTTTGGCCAGCTCGCTGGCCAAGGATTTGATTGCGACTGGTCTATCAGTCTTTTTTGTGAGACCGTAGCTAGAATAGTCCTTAAAAAAAGATTGAAAAAGCTTGACTCGAGTTCCCAATGATCGTGTCTCTAGAGACCGAGGAAATGTTGGGTCGCTTCGAAAGGAGGTTTTCCCACTGTCTTCATCAGCAAACTACCAAGTTTTATTGTCGATTCGGGGGAACTCACTTCCTCATATAGCCTTGCCTTCCCCAAGATATACCTGCTCCGCATTCCCAGAACGTCCGCTTTTCGGTGAAATGCACGATACGTCGTGAAAGTGCACGTTCCTGCAACACCCATGCACGCTTATTCAACACGCTTTCTTCCACTGACTTCTCAAAGTCTTCCGGAAACTGATCCTTCCAGTATGTTGGACTGGGCGCTGATCCTCCTCCATCAAGAAAACCTTCCGTGAAATCTTTCGCAGAGGTGGCAGCAATGGTGCAATAAGCATTCTTGAAAACCTTGTTCATCTTCTTCGACTCCCTTGCCCAGTCTGCTTCATCACTTTGATTGATACAGAGGGAATCTATCCAAAGAAATTCTTTCCCAATTCTCTTCGTCACAATTATTGCGTGCTGAAATGTCTTGGGCAGGTCTCGAAATGAAAACCTGGCGTTTCCGGACTTTTGGAGTTGATATTTCTCAGGTGCATAGTCGTTGCTTGGGTCACCCCAACGGTGAGACAGAGCCACGTACTCTGTGCCTTTCTTCAGTTGCCCTGCTTCAGCAATAGTCACGGTATGGGGCTCGTTCTGAATTGTGCTATCACTGCTGTTCGAATAGCAAGACTGGATGGACTCGTCGGTCAGAGAGCTCAAATCGATCAGCCGGGTCGGCAGCTCATTTGAGCCACTGGCACGGCAATCCTCATGTCCTTCACTGAGGGCGGGAGGTAAGTCCTTATGGTGTGCATCGCAACAACGAAGCCACGTGCAGATCAAGGAAATCGGGTCGTCTGTAAGTAACTGTTAGCTGCCGTCCGTATCTAGAACAAAGCTATCAGGTTATCAATTGAACAGGCGGCAACTTACCGGGGCCGTTGCTCTCATTCGATTGGCACCACTTTGATGCCTGACGCCACTGGTCCTCACCGACCTAAGTCCATTAGCGGAGCAAACACACGGTCGCCATCGTAGACGGGGCCGACACTTACATACTATTCCATCGCAAACGCCAGTCATCAGCAAAGACACGGTCGCCATCGCAGACGAGGCCCATACTTACTGCCTATTCCATCGCAAACGCCAGTCATCAGCAAACACACGGTCGCCGTCGCAGACGAGGACGACACTTACCCGCTATTCCATCGCAAACGCCAGTCATCAGCAAACACACGGTCGCCGTCGCAGACGAGGACGACACTTACCCGCTATTCCATCGCAAACGCCAGTCATCAGCAAACACACGGTCGCCGTCGCAGACGAGGCCCACACTTACCCCCTATTCCATCCCAAACGCCAGTCATCAGCAAACACACGGTCGCCGTCGCAGACGAGGACGACACTTACCCGCTATTCCATCGCAAACGCCAGTCATCAGCAAAGACACGGTCGCCGTCGCAGACGAGGCCCACACTTACCCCCTATTCCATCCCAAACGCCAGTCATCAGCAAACACACGGTCGCCGTCGCAGACGAGGACGACACTTACCCGCTATTCCATCGCAAACGCCAGTCATCAGCAAAGACACGGTCGCCGTCGCAGACGAGGACGACACTTAGCCGCTATTCCATCGCAAACGCCAGTCATCAGCAAAGACAGGATCGCCGTCGCAGACTAGGCCCATACTTACTTCCTATTCCATCGCAAACGCCAGTCATCAGCAAACACACGGTCGCCGTCGCAGACGAGGACGACACTTAGCCGCTATTCCATCGCAAACGCCAGCCATCAGCAAACACACGGTCGCCGTCGCAGACGAGGCCCATACTTACCGCCTATTCCATCGCAAACGCCAGTCATCAGCAAAGACACGGTCGCCGTCGCAGACTGGGCCCATACTTACTGCCTATTCCATCGCAAACGCCAGTCATCAGCAAACACACGGTCGCCGTCGCAGACGAGACCATTACTTACATCCTAGACAAACCCAGTCAGCAAGGAAGCGGTTGACATTAGAGCACGTACGCTAATATACAGCCCATGATCTCTGCTGCCATCTGCTATTGTAGTGTGCCGGGCCATGGTGTATTGATCTAAGCTGCAATGTGAGATGCCGCGTGGTTGTCCTGCTGGCCTTTATATGTATCTTGTGCGCCCACCTCTTGAGGCGGGGCTTGGCCACTTGCCAGCGATGGGCCTCTCTGATGGGTCTCTGACAGTTTGAGCATCCTTAACATTTGGCAGAGAACACCCTGGGCTATGTCGTCAGTGGCTGCTGCGTGTATCCCTGCAGGCCATGAGATGCCGCGGCACCCCCCTAGACATTCAGGCGTTACACTGCGATTTACTTCACCTATGCTGAGCCGTCGGCGGGTTCTGCGGCTTGATTTCTAACCGAGAACAACAGGATTTCTCGACTTCTTGGTCGCCACATTGACATCAATCACTATCTCTTTTAACCATCATTTCACCACCGCTCGAAATCGTATCAAGGGCTCCTGAACCTTACCAAAAGGGGAGCCCACGTCACCGAAATGTCAAACTCCCTTTTCGGGATCAACCAAATTAACAAAGAACTCCTTTTTACCATTGATGATGAGGGACTGTTGCACCAAATCTATGGGAAATTTCCCCAAGAAATAGATCGTCTCAAGCGTGCTTATTCTATCAGCGACAAGCACATTACCCACCCTTCGAAACCATCGCCGTCCCAGATCCTCTTTGGAACTCAGTATGAGGAAGTCAATCGCACCCTCGTCAGCGTCCTGTCGCTTCGATGGATCTACCGCGATCAGTACGAGGTCTTCACGAGAACGCAGCCGAGTCCTGTTGTGCTGACGCGCCCATCCTTCGACTGGGTGCGGGCTGTCTTCATGAAAAGGCTCGAATGCCCGGAGGATCTCTATGCGTTACTTGTGTATATTGTTATCAACGACCTCGGAAAAGACCCTCAGCTTGCGACCGACTACCTCTTCAAGACAGGCGAAGATATCTCATCTCTGAATCACGACATCATTCTCCTCAAAGCTGTCAAAGCCGGGCTCGTTCCCTCAGTCGACAGCCTTTCACAAAGACACAAAGAAGAGATCATCCGCGGCATCCAGCTCGGCGCGGAGTTCAACCCTGGCCAGCTGGCACAGTCGGAAAACGCGACTGCATGTCTGTTCAGCTTGGTCAGAATGAGGGGCCGCGAGGAGGAATTCAGGTTCCACTTCATGCAACAGCTGCTCGATATCTCTGGCGCCGCAGGACACGAGGACTGGACCTGCGCCAAGAAGCTCATCCAGCCTATCGCCGAAGCATACCGGAATGTCTACGAGGTAGCGATGGGAATCATCTCTGACGACCAGGGACTGCGGGAAGCGTATGATGTGATTCTTGTTCGGCGATGCGAGATGCTCCACCGGAACGGGTTCAGGTCGCTGCATGTCACGCAGCCGGAAGATCGGGCGATGATGAGGCTGCTCTGCATGGGCGGGGTCTCCGACGCTGTGCTGGCGGGGGTGTATTGGTCGGCGTGGGAAATGCTCGACCATCGCACGAAAGGCAACCTCGTTCACTCTCTGAACGTCGATGGATCAGTCGCCGAACCTGCCATCCAGCCGACCTATTACCCAGCCATGCTTGCGCAGGGGCTCCGTGGGGCGGCGGAGCTATCGCGGGAAGAGCAGGTGCGAAGGCTACAAAGCATGTTGCGGTACTTATCGCGCGTGATGGCTTCGACGGAGGGGCAGGATGGTCAGGCGGTGGTCATTGAGCGGAGTGTGCTGTGGGTGGTGAAGGATACTGTGCAGAGCCAGGCTTTTCAAGACGACCCCACAGTCCTGGACAGGACAGCGGTTCCCAGGAGTGCGATAGCAGTGCCCGCTTTGAGGCGAGAGATCTCACCACCAACGTTCCCGTGAGCACGAACGCGGATGTCTACTTGGATTCTGTGGGCGTATGGGGTCTTGCGAGTGGGAAGGATCTCGACGTCTGATAGCCTACTTGTAGCCGATGGGTTTATGTCTCATGTTCTCACCCAACGCACGCGTGTGGTTGCGCATCTGGAGCGCTTCGAATACGAGCTCAGCGAACATTGGTAGACGTTACCTCTGTGTAATGCATGTCCAAAATCTCTGCTGGTCACCCTCTGTTTTGGGCGATTTGCAGAGATCCCAATCATTCCCGCAGCTGCGTATCTGCATGTAGTGAGGGACGGCGTGTTGTAGTCTGTGGCTGTGCGGGCTTTTTGAGAATCGCCCTCAACTTGCATGTTCGCAAATCGAAGCGGCCAAGGCCGTAGCCGTAGCTTGGCGCGGAAGATTCAAGCCGCGAGGTGGCCAAGCCGAGGCGGAAACGAGGGATATATCCGATGAGCATTTTCGGCCGGAAGGGCATGCAAGTGAAAGCACCCCGGTCGGTCAACGGAGGCCGCCCTGTAGCTGGAAACTAGCTGTCTCGCACATGGCCGCTTACCAGCCTCCCTCCTCAATACTCTGGGGCTAGGTTGCAGCGCAGATCTCGCAGTGTGTGGCATGCTGAAGGGCGCCGTGGTCGACGTTTCGGATGTTCCATGCACTTCCCGTACGCACGGTGTTCTGTGCTTGCTCATGGAACGGCCTGGATTTTGCACCGGTCCACACCGCTGAGATAGCCCCTGAACAGTCATACATCTGCCCTCCTTGAGAGTGGAACCGTAGGTGTCTGGCGCTCGAGCTGCAATCCACTTGCGTACAGACGCACGCTGTATGGGTGAGCGCGACGTGGACACATGGATGGCCACCCTTTTGAGTGAGGCAACCCACCGCCTCCCAGCTCATCTCGCAGTGTGCACGCACTCACTTCCCATCCCCACCGATATTAGTCCTCTGGCCATGCCCCGCGGCCCGGTCCGCACCCCCGTGCGCCCCCACGAACGGATTGCCTTACGACGGTGATCGCGTCAGTGCCAGAGGCGGTCGGATAAGCCTTTCAAGGCAAGCATACGATGAGATCGGTGTCTTGAGAACGGTTTGCCTCTGATAGGCGCCACCCGGATGTCTCACGTGATGGCCTGCCAAAACTTTGAGACCCGCAACACACTTCTCGCTCCCCATGCTCGACTCGGCCCAAGCTTTTGCCTCACGACAATTGTCCCTCAATTTTGGAGTTCACATTGACTTCGAAACCCGTCGCAGACGAACCCTGTATTCAGCTCGCCAAAGAGGGCAAGAGCTCCACAAGCAGATGTGAAGACGAACCACGCTTCCGCACGTACTTTTACACAGGCAGTGGGTGGCTTGGCCGCCGACGTACTTTGCGTGGCCGGCCAACTGGCTTGCGTTGCACTTAGGCAAACATCCAAGACGGGACAGATGTTATCCCCTTGCCACAGTAAGCAGCGTAACGTTTATTGCGGCCTCTTAAAGCATCCGCCGTCTGTCACATTCTCTGTTGTCCGAGCCTGCCGCACACGCCTATCTCCTGACACCATGTACCCTTGGAAAGAAGCGTTCGCCTCCTGGGCTGAGTCCACCCAGCTCCAGATCGACGCCTTAGGCCTCATCACCATCCTCGGAGCAGATGAAGTTAACGTCAGTGTCGGTCGCCTCATTCCCAACCGCTACGCCGAGTTCCTACCGCTACTGGGCGCCTTCGTCCTCGCAAGCAACCAATTCACGAAGAAGCAACCCAACTTCGAGCTTTACAACCTGACGGAGGGGATCAAGACAACAGAGATAGCAGGCTGGCTCTCCCGCTGGCTGAAAGCTCAAGATTTCCACCAGATCCATCACAGGACCCAGTGGGAAGTGCAGAAATCTCCGCCACGGGGTCTCTCCTACATCTGGACGGCCTTGGCGATCAGCGTCCCGTGCCACGGGATGCTGCTGGCGCTGACCGTGCTTTCAGCCGACTGGTGGGGCTTCCTGAACGTCTTGTCCATGGTTCTTTCGGTTGTCGTGCGAGTTGTGCTGGTGCAGCAAAACCGGGCGGGGATTGATCACGCAATAACCGAGGCAGAACAAGAGGCCCAAAAAAGAAACCAGGATATGACCCAAGCAAAGGTCATTCTCATCTTGGACGACTCAAAAATCGTCACAATGGAGATCTCTCGCCACCTCGTCAAGCCAGTCTTCACCAAGGCCCCGACGATCCCGAACAGTCACCTCTATAGACTCGTCCGATGGGTTGGCTGGACAAGTTTCGCGGTTCATATTATCAGCATTGGAATGGCGTCGTTGCAGACGCAGATATGCACAGTTGTGTTGATTGTGGCTTCAACCATTTTGACCACGTTCAGATTTGGCTCTGTCGACAGGCGGTTGAGAAAGCTCACTACGAGCACGGTAGCAAGTGCGGATGAGCAAACACAAGTAGCGTGCCCAATATCGTCAGGGTTGAAGGCGGTTTGCTCAAGATACCCCGAAAAACAACACAACAAGCAACAGAATTGTTCATTGAATGGGAAAATTCCAGAGCTGGGGACTAAACGTCGAAGAGATCTTTTCATCTGGCTACAGCTCACCGACGCAGAGCTCGAATTGATGAGGACATGGAATCTTATGCCACAGGAGAAAAATACTGAGTGGTGGGAAGATTTCAATAAAACACGCAGTAATTGGAGAGAGCTCTCATGCCAGACACAAATGTCTACATAAGCTACAACGACGCAGTTTTGCCTCGTTATCCCGCAATCCTACGTAGTCCCATCAACCTTCAGGTGACGTAAATTGGAACCATGCCACGTTGGCCATTGAGAGAGACCTTTTGCCTATTATTATTGGCAATAGCAAGTAGGTATCTTTGAAACCTCTATCGTCTAGGTATTCCATAGTCGAAAGGTCATCGCCCGTAGTATTTCGCAGGAGGTCATCACGACTAGATTCCGCAAATGAGGCCACTGGTAAACGCCAAGCTCGGTACGCAGAACCAGACAAGGTGGAAACGGCGACAGAGCCAAAGTAGGAAGATTTGAAAGAGGGAATCCAGAGGCGAAGAAAACACTTGTGATGGGAGAATGAAAAATCGACGCAGCAGGAAGAGACACTTCAACAAAGAGAACCTTAGTAGAGGATAGACATTTCAGCGAGGAATTGGAAACAGCTAGCCTTGATGAGACGGCAGGGCGAAATGGGGCGCCGCAATTCATTGCCGACGCGTCGGCTGTTGGCCAGACCCCGCCATCCGGGCAGGGTTGCTGACTGAAGAGCGGCTGAAACCAAGTAGGTTAAAATCAATCGACGAGAATTGAGCGTTACGCTTTGCGCTCCGCTGAGGTAAGAAGCACAGAAGGTAGCAGTATTAGTTTGTTGGTAATCGGAACAAAGGAGCAATTGGACGGGCGGGAGTGGCTTCAATTGGTGAGCTGGTCGAGTGGAAGTGCTCTATCCGGGCTCGGCTATCAACACACTTTGCTCTGTAGTTAATGCAACTCCGACAAGATCCCGAAGTACCAGAACGCCAAAGTCGAAGACATCAGGTGCACCGAGTGCATGTCGGACTGTCTGGCATCAGAGGACAGGAGAGCGTCAGATATCAGATGTAGACGGAATGAACGATCAACACCAGTAACCGATGAGACAAAGACTCGGGCTTGAATTGTGAAGTGGAGGAGGACGAGGGAGAGGATTGATCGAGGTAGGCGGCGCGCGGGTTGGGGAGGAAGAGGGGGAAAATGAGGGGAGAATACAAACCCACGCGGAGTCCGTCCCTCAACACTTTCTCTATTCAGCCTTAGACTAGTCAATCGACGGCTCCTCTACGTTGCACAAGCCTAAGAGCCAGCCTTTTACACATTCCAGAACTTTCCCTAATTACGCATGTAGAATATGTAACAAAACCTCCGCTCTCACCCTTCTCGAATGGCGCCGGGCCTGCCACTGCTAAAGCTTCTGCTTGTACTGGAGTAGTTGCCCTGACTACTCGTGATAAACACCTTATATATTGCTGTCAACTCCCTGATGTAACTTGAAGAAGTAATACGCGGCCCGATCTACATCCAACAGCTAATCTTGATCCATCGACTGCATGACATTCCGCACGATATTCTGGAGGTAGCCAAAGTACGTTCTGCGAATTTTTCGTGATCCAGACGCCCTCCTGTGAGAGCATTTGACTCTGATCATTGAAACCTTGAATTGGTTCTTTAATCGTTTTCGCGAATATGTTTTCTAAGCTACTATGGCCCTCCAGCGTGCGCTGGCACTGGCCCGTAGCTGCGTCCCAGAGCTTGATGGTATTGTCGCTGGAGGCCGATGCCAGCTGCCGCCCATCGGGAGAGAAGGTCACCAAGTTGACCCAACCACTATGGCCCTCCAGCGTGCGCTGGCACCGGCCCGTAGCTGCGTCCCAAAGCTTGACGGTGTTGTCGCTCGAGGCCGATGCTAGCTGCCGCCCATCAGGAGAGAAGGCTACCGACCTGACGAATTTACTATGGCCCTCCAGCGTCCGCCAGCACTGGCCCGTAGCTGCGTCCCAGAGCTTGATGGTGTAGTCGTAGGAGGCTGATGCCAGCTGCTGCCCATCGGGAGAGAAGGTCACTGAGTTGACGGAGTCGTTATGGCCTTCCAACGTCCGCTGGCACTGGCCTGTGGCTGCGTCCCAAAGCTTGACGGTGTAGTCGTAGGAGGCTGATGCTAGCTGCCGTCCATCTGGAGAGAAGGCCACCGACCTGACGAATTTGCTATGGCCCTCCAGCATGCGCTGGCACCGGCCTGTAGCTGCGTCCCAGAGCTTGATGATATTGTCGCTGGAGGCTGATGCTAGCTGCCGCCCATCGGGAGAGAAGACCACCGAGTTGATGGTGTCACTATGACCCTCCAGCGTCCGCTGGCACTGGCCCGTGGCTGCGTCCCAGAGCTTGATGGTGTTGTCACTGGAGGCTGATGCCAGCTGTCGCCCATCAGGAGAGAACGCCACCGAGTTGACGGAGTCGCTATGGCCCTCCAGCGTCTGCAGACACGTGTTCCAGTCTGCGTCTCCCTCTGTAAGCACAGTAATCCAGGCTGGTGCCTCTATTTGAAACAGTTGCCTTATCAAGCTGCGTGTAGGGCTAAATAAAAGAGCAGCCGCATATAGTTGCAGCGGAAAGCCTTCTGCGCATTGTTTATAGGAAAGAACAAACCGACAGGCATCTTGAACGAGTTTTGCAAGTTGTGTTTCCGTACTTGCCTATGGAGTTGTTGAGTTATTTCCTAAGATATGGTTCTATTAGACTTACTACCAATGTTTGGAGTTTCTGCATTGCCACCACTGCTTGTGGCATGCCTTGTAGAAGACTCTGAGCCTCTAGCCAGTGGAGATAATGGCTTTTGAGGAAAGCGTGGATGCTGGCGTTATCCTGCAAATCATCGCACGTCGGGCTGTCCGCGGGATTTGCGTGCTGAAAATGGTCAACCCAGTAGGTGGACGAGTACGTCAGAGAAGTCAAAGGGTCTGGGTTAGGTGGTGACATATCCTCTCTGAGGGTTCCAGAGGCGCGTAGGTCGTAGATGTCGCGTCTGAGGGTTCTGGATAACACCTCTAGAGACCTTGAAAAAATAGCGTGGTGCTGATGCGCAATGCCGGAAGGCAGAATCTGGCGAAACGCTCTATATTCCTTGTCCACGAGGAAATCTTTGGCTGATTGGTGCACAAAGTAGATGGTTTCATCGCGCACAATCAGGAAAGAGCCGCAGGATTTGATGACCTTCTTAAGATCCTTAGTAGAGAGAGTTGGCAGTTTCGCAATGGACAACAGTTCTTTCAATGTGACAGGACGGTATACAACTGACATCACGGCTAAAACCTCCTTGCAGAGGTTTGCAACCCTGGAATCAGATATGTAGTCGATCATGCGCGCGTAAAGAGACTCAAGGCCCGGTGGCAATTCCCTCAGGACCTTAGGCATATCTTGATCCAAGCCTTGGTACTCGGCGAGCGCCTTGCAGACCAAGGCTACCCAGAGGAAAGTATCGTTTGAGTTGTCGGTCAAGTGCTTCGAAACATCAATGCGGGTTTTGTCGTTATACTCCTTTAACACCGCCAGTTCATCCACCTTGTAGTGGATGTATGTACGAACAGCGTGGGCGATAGATTCCTTGTTTAGCTCGAGGTGAAAACTGACTTGATGTGTTCGATCGTTTAATATTTCCTCAATCTCCAGCCAATTACGGCTCGAAACGATCCACTTAGCACGAGACGAGGATGACGTCCGAGCAATGAAGTTGAGAAGCTTTGGACGTTCGGTCACACACTCGTCGAGTGCATCAACAATCAAGAGGACGCCATCTAGAGCGGGATCATGCAGCATAGCCGTGAGGATCTTGGACATGACCTCCCAGGCGTTCAGGTCCTCGAATCGCTGCTTGCCACCGCTGTCATATTCCTTGCGGACATGCGGAATGAGCCGTTGATACCGCTTTGCGAGACTGTAAATCAGACCTCGCAGTACGGCTGTTGCACTATTCAGGCCTCCCACAGTGGCTTGGCAGAAGAAATAGGACAACCTGTTGGAAGGTTCCTTCTCTAGCTCGTCAATGATGCCGCATAGGAGCATTGTCTTGCCTTTGCCTGGATCACCCCTTATCCAGAGCAGATGGCTCTGTGCGTCTACACGCCACCGCCGGAAGTCGGGATGGCCTAGGACCCAGAGGTACGAATCTCGAAGGAGACCGCCTTTGGTGTCCTGGATGCGCGTTTTGTCATCGCAGGGATCCGCCTGGAAGAGGTCATTCAGGCATTTCCTGTCGTCCTGGTCCTGTTGCCTTTCCGCATGTTGCCTGGTCTGGTATTGGATGGAAGACGTGACATCTTGAAACTGCTTGAGCTGGCACTCCGCCTTGGCTTCGAGGCCTTGGAGGTGTTGACGCGTCTTTTGGAGGTGTTGAGATACCTTCAGGTCGTGATACTGGTCCGAACAGCCTCGTACGGCGGTCTCGGCGGCAGTTATATCGTCAAGTTTGCCGGTCCAGTTATCCAGCTTTATAGTATCCCTTAAAAAGACGATGACTTGGCTCTTGGAGTGGAGGCAGACACTCCTCATCAGGTATAGAAGGAGCTTCTGGTAAAGCTGGACGATATGTTTCTCGAGCTGACCACGCAGCCCTTCCAGGTCCGGCCCGGCACTCTCCCGGTCGAGGAGGAGGTCGACGAGGTTCCAGTACCAGTCCATTTTTGACACAACGTAAGTGATGCCATCGCGTTGAATACCCGGCTCGGTGAATGGGTTCGCGAGGATCTATACAAGGTCAACACACGCTCGCGGGTTTTTGGAGCAACCAACCTCAAGAGCGAAGGAGACGCCAACCCAGGCAATGGCGGCTTCGGGGGCAGCCTGTACAGCCTTCCCGACCACTTCCTTCAGCGGGGAAGCGATCTGAATCGCATTGTCGATTACCTGTTTGGTAGTCGCGGTCCGTTCTGTCTTCTGCAGCCCGGCTTGAACAAGCCTTTCCATTTGTTGCCATCTTCCCTGTAAGGTAGGTTTGATGTGGTTTTTAGGCATAGTGGTGGGAGTGGAACTGCCGCTCTGAAGTTCGGCTGACAAAAGTGTTTCGTACACTTCGACGACCCCGGGATCGCTGGACTTGAGATCGTCATATGCCCGATTCCAAAGCTGCTCTTTGAGGCTTGTCGACGTCTTGGAAGACGGCGGAGATTGAGGAGGGGCTGCTGGAGGCGGTGAAGCATGAGGTGAAGGAGACTCCGAGCTGCGGAACTTGAATTTCAGCCACTGTAAGCACAACGGACTCATCCTGGGCGACCTGTTCGCCCTCAGTGACGGCAATGGTCAGGATGTTCGAAATGAAGGAGCTCAGCGGGCGCGAAGCTCTGAGGACTAGGCCTTAGGAAGTATTATTTCCATCGTCAATGGTCGGGGCTGGTCTCTCCACAAGTGTTGGTCTTACGGTACGCGCAAGACTACGTCGCATCAGCCGGGCACTAGCGCATGGTCGCAGGTATGGCATGGATGTCGACTTACCGCATAGGCTGGGCAGTATCCCTTTCCATAAGGGTGAGCCCCAACTTCAGGAGCCAGTTAAACGTGAATTGAGTCCGCGGGCGCCGTCAATCTAAACACGAGGTTTTCTCGTCATGACTACCTTCGCATACTCTAGGAGCTGCGGGAATTGAATGGCATACGACAGGCCGGTGCTGTGGTTTCATTTGCACGAAAACCTCTGCCGAACAGTGCTTTGGCTGTGATCATTTCCAGCAGTCATCGCCTGGACGTTCTCATCAGTTATGTAGGCGGCGCGTCGGCGACTGTCAGAGACACACTATGCCTTGACACCACAGTCTCCACTAAGAATTAAAAGAAAAAGGATGATTGGCTATGATGGGTCTGGGCAAGCAACAGACCCGGATAGGTACGCATTCATCACAGGAAGTATTCAGCTCGTATTTGTGTGCACTGGGAAACAGGGCGCGTGAAGGCGAATGCAGTGCATCTGCCCGCCAGGGCGGCAATCACGGCCTACATCAACAGACGGCCAATGGTTGATTGAGGCGGACCACACCACATGCAGCAGTTGGCTTCCTAACGGTTGCAGGGAGGCGAGACCATATTGTCTTTGCAGATCTAGCAAATATGGGCCTCGCGTCGTGGCTGGCCAGCTGGCTTGCGTCTAATGCTAGCCACTTCAATAAAGCAGCTTGGCTGCTGGCAAGCGACTCGGTGTATATAATTACGAGTTGATCCCCCGAGTCACTGCCACAAGGAACCTGTTAGGCATACGCGAACCAACGAAGGGAACCAGCGGGAACTAGGGTTGGAATGAACTTCCAGAAGCCCTCGAGCAAGATTGAGAGGACGTCAGGAAGTGGCGTATATTTTTGGAGTACGCGCTGAAGCCTATCGCACTCCACGCCGCGGGATCTGCGGCAATGACAGCAGCTCCATTGCCGCCGTGACGTTAGGAATAATTAAAACAACTTGATTTGGGATGTGTGTCGTGATGTGATTGTATCCCATCGGGTGGATGGACAGCACTCTCGCCAAGACCACGAGATACCCATTATTTACCCATTATAACCCCGCATTGGAAGGGGCACTTGATGATGCGTCACTTATCCCTAAACCCTCACACTGAACAGTAATCGAATCAACTGTGGGTGGTGAAGGGGAGGGTGTTTGCACTCTTCCAGGCCTCACTCGACGAAGGGGTGTTGCCGAGGCAATGGCGACACGCCAAGATCATCCCGCTGAAGAAACCAAACGAAAGCGGCTACGGTATAGCGGAAGCCTGGCGACCGATCTCGCTTCTGTCGACGCTCGGGAAAGCGCGAGAAGTAAACCGGGAAGGCATCCAGAACATCATTGACAGAGCACTTGAGTGGGAACGACGAAGCGGGGCGACCTTCGAGACGGACAAGACGGCCATCATCCACTTCACGCGCAACTGAAGGCTGCCGGCAGACTCGACCAGCTTCGTCATCAAAGGGGACACTATCTGACCAAAGGACTACGTCAAGGTACTAGGGGTGGCGATGGACACGAAACTTCGCTTCGAAAAGCAAATCGCAGACGCGACAACAAAAGGGCTGGAGGCCGTGCTGGGGCTCAGGCGCCTCAAAGGTCTGTCTCCGGCGACGGCCAAACAGCTTTTTGTGGCGGCCGTAGCACCGGCGATGGACTACGCGTCGAACGTCTGGAGACATAGATGTCGAGCAGCGCAGATGAGGGTGATCAACCGAGTGCAGAGAACTGGCGCCCAAGCGATCGTGGGAACCTTCAACACAGTGGCCACGGCGGTCGCTGAAGCGGAGGCAAGCATACAATCGGCGCAAGAGAGATACGATAGAACAACAATGACATTCTGGGTACGGATGCGAAGCCTTCCCAAGACCCATCCGCTTCGACGTCTGCGAGCGGTAGCCTTTCGACGGTTCCCATCACCTTTCCAGTTGATGGCGGAGGCCTATTGCGACCAACCTCTTGACAAGCTGGAGACTATCGAAGGGCATTCGATCACTCCGTGGGAAGCCCGGATTGACACAGTAGTCGACGACGACGCGGTCAAGGCCACCGAAGCAGTCCAGTCCGGGTGGGCAGTGAGGATAGCGACAGGGAGTTCGGCAAGAAACGGGATTGTGGGCCATGGAACGGTCACAATGCTGCCTGCATCACTCAGAGGGGGTGGCGGCGTGACAACGGCCTCGCGCACACTCGGCCTGAGAACAGAGCAGAACCCGTATGTGGCAGAGCTGGCGGCGCTGGCAGAAGCGGTCAAGTCTCTCCCGCAGAGGCTCGACTACCGGGCTATCCACGTGTTCACCCGCAACAAAGCGGCTGCGCTAGCCATCCGTAACCCGCGGCAGCAGTCAGGCCAACGAGAGATCCGCCAACTATACGCCGGCGTGCAAGATCTTCAGAGGAAAGGCAACAGAGTCACACTCTTCTGGCTTCCATCAGCAACAGAATCAGACCTGTCGAAAGCGGCCAAAGCAGCAGCAAAGGAAAGCACAAGACCGAACAAGACACCGCAGAAACGACCGGCCAGAGCCTACTCGACGGCACTGAGGATCGCTTTACAGAGCGTGCGACAGAAGTACGGAGCTTTACCCAACAACGTAGGAGCACATTCAAAGAAGATCGACGTCGCTTTACCAGGAAGGCATACACGTGACCTATATGACGAGCTCTCTTGGAAAGAAGCCAGTATCCTGGCGCAACTGCGCACCGGCATGGCAAGACTGAATTGGTACCTGCACCAGATCGGAGCAACTGCCTCGGCGCATTGCGCCTGCGGGCATGCGGCAGAATCGGTAGAGCATTTTCTCTTTCGTTGCACACAGTGGACGGCACAACGAACTCAGATGCTTCAACAGACGGAAACGCGGAGAGGAAACCTATCGTACTTTCTCGGAGGAAAAAGCGCGTCCGACCCTGATGACTGGTCGCCGAACGTAGATGTTGTCAAAGAAACGATCAAGTTTGCCATGAGCACGGAGAGACTGGATGCTCAGATCAGCCAGCGGCAAAACGACCATGAGTAATTGCTAACCCCGCCATAACGACCCACACCAACTCACATACCAACCGACAACACCTCCACGCACCCTCGTGCCATCGACAACAGGACTAGCTTCGGCCGCCGATGATAAGACGCCGAACACTTTAGGAGACACCCTCAGGATGGCCTGTTACTAACACCACGAGCAACCGCAGCATTGGTATGTAAAACTGAAAATGACACATACGGAGACGGACAAGGCTTGTATGGGCTTCTGGGAGGCAAGGATATGAACGAAAGTGGGGAATATGTAGATAATCACACGAGCCCTGAATAGCTTAGCCGGGGCGTAATAAACTATGTATGTATGTATGTATTGTGCATATGTCGCTTCCTCTTCCGCAAACATTCTCAATGTTTGAGAAGCCGAAAGTTGCTGTGATGGGCCTCCACAAACCTCTGGTAATGGCTGTAGCGGTTGGTTTGCAAACCAAAATGTGGGGTCGGGATAGTGTACGACAGTGCGAGGGGCAGCGCGTAATCAAGAGCTACTCCAAAGCATCCATAATCAGCTTTCACAGCACTTCTGACCGTGGTCGCATGTACACAGTGAGAACGACTTTGGGCCCAGCCTGTGAGGGTCGAATTAAAAAAACAAAAGCAGTGTGTTGCCAAGAGGAAGCCATATTTGATCCATACTGTACATTACTACCGCCATGCTTGGGCCAACTCACTTGACCTGGCTTTCGGAGTGATCAGACGAGCCATATGACTACACGCGGTAGCTTCCATCTCGGGCTCTACTCGCTGGCTTCAGACACTTTGGTCCCAACAGACACGCTCGACAGGGTTATTTTGGAGTAATGAGATGCAGCACCTACAGCACGTTCATTCGCCTGTCGCTTGTGGTGGGTAGGAAGCAGGATGTGCACACTCGTGACATGTAGGTCTCAAGCATGCCGCAGTCAACATTTGGTGCAAAGGGATCGTCCACAAGCATCATGGGTTCAAAGCTGCATTCAGTATTCTCACCTTTGAGAATCGCCTCATCAAGTGAAACGCCTCACAGACAGAGGCTTCCACAAGAACATGTGTTGACCTTCCTCCTCTGCGACTCCGACGAGGAGAGCGACAGCATCAAGAAGGAAAAAGGACTTGAACAAGGCGATTCGCATCAGGGAACAGGCTTTCTGACTAGCATAGCGTCTCCTGACATCGCGGCTGGTATCAAGACCGTCTGCTCTGCAGCGGCTCGACATCCAACCAAGAATAGCGAGGCAATGTCTTCGTATAGAGTGACACATGTCTACGAGAAAGCCTCCACAGAACGCTCGCTCCATCTCAGGACAGCCAGCCGCGATGGCGCGATTATCACTAATTCTTTCGACTGGGATTCGAATGATCCTTACGCGAGGTCTGCCGAATGCAGTATCCCCAGGCCAGACTCACCAACCATATGAGGGTATCGTGGTTGCTGTAGTTGTATCGCCGGATGTCCTTATGATAGACACGCATCGAGGCGCGCCATGAACAGTAAGACAAAAGCCAGTGGTTGGCGGAAGACTGTTCTATGAACCCGTATATGAGAATGAAAATTTCTCGTGAGGATCGCAGACTCGTCAACGTGTGAATTTTGACATTATCAACTTCACGCGCGACTGTGGTGATAAGGGAAGATGTTTATGAATCGTTGAATCCTGTCTGGCTTGTCGAAGGCTCATAGTCTGGTCCGCCAGGCTCATGATGCATCACATACACACCGATTTAGAACTTATCCGTACGATCCGTGGTGGACATATAAACGATACAGTATTGGATTTTCTGGCCGGTCGATTTGTATGTGTGCCAGCACGAGCTTATGCGTCATCTTCTGTGCCTTCCGCTCATCTTTTCTAGTCTCGGGCTGTCGCCATGCGATGCGTTGTTTGATTGTATCTTTGACATATATGATACAGCACATACTGTACATACATATGCTGCCTAGATAAGTTCTTCCTTTTCTAAATGGCCGGTGCAAACACCATGAGTGCGGATATATGAGCTTGGTTAGCAATGTCAGCAGCCGTGTAACTCACATCAGACGACAAAAAGTCCGACTTATGCCTCTTCCGCTTTCGTCGACGGCTCCAATCAAAGTCCCTCTCGCCTCCGAATGATGGCAAGCTTCTTCGCGCCGTATGGTCAGAAACGAAAAGCTCATCATTGTAGTGCTTCAAGTGGAGTTTTTGTCCACGCTCTGTCCATTCAGCAACAAAGTGCGTATAATTGTCTGGCACATGCAATTGGTCCTAAACCAACGGTTGTGGCTTCCTGTTCTACCTCTCGGATAGCTGTCGGATCCCGTCATTCGGGCTACCCGCGTCCAAAGCTACGTGCTAACATCCGTAAGTGGTGACTCCACGTTCTTCCCGCTAGCAGATGCATCAAAAGCCGATTTTGGCTGCCCTCACAAAAAGGCTGCGACAGAGTTTAGGAAACTAGCAATCACAGAATAGACTCAGATGCGGCTCCACTGCCACCTGGTGCCTAACGCGTTCGTGCGGTATGCTTGCTTGAAAAGGGATGCATTGGGCAGAGTAGAACGACAAGATGATGATGCATCAGACTCATTTTTTACTTTATGGTACGTCAACAATACAGTACTGTCGTACAGTAGTCCGTACCCAACAAATCATGGCTTCTCGTTAGCAGCAGCCAAAGAAAAGGGATAGAACCAACGAGAACTGCGATAAAACGGTCAAAAACATCATGTGGCGTTGTGAGCAGATACGACGACGGCACGGGGCCGATGTATACATCCAAGTCCGCTTCAAAGGCAGGTTCTATGAATACTCGTCTTCCAATGAGCACAATTTCCCTAAATCTCGCAATGAGTTGGTAAGTTCAATCACATCATAGCCCTTCAAGGCCACCTTCAAGGCTAAGGTTTGGCAGAAAACGATCTATCCGGTTCCGGTGACAAGATCGCCACTGGACTATGCGGAAAGAAGATCTCGAAGCGACGTCAAAGGTCAATCTGGCGTGATTAGCGGTTGAGTGCGACGATGTAGCTGTTCAGCGGAGGATCGTAGTTGCATTGATGTCCATTTTTCTTGTATATCTACTGCACCGCCCGGATTGCTGCGTATACTTGGTGTGTCGCTCTCCTCATGTCCTTTGATCCATGCTGTCTCCTTGGGAAAGGCAGTGGGCAGTATATCTACAGTATTGCTCTTCAAATTGACTTATTTATTGCTTTTTGTTGGTTTCATACCGCATCGCGGTTTGTAAGAAGACATGAATTGAGACCCGTTCGCTCATGCATCAGCCAAGACATAATAGCAATTGATCCGTCCGAGTCTTTCGGCTGAATCTGTATGAATCATGTGACCATGGTGATCTTGAAATCCTCAGGTACAAGGTAGTCCAACCCGAAGAAATCTCTACTTCCACTCAATACCAGAAAGGCACTGACGAATATAAGTCGGCAAAACGACTATGATGTGGTTACGTTAGACCGGCGAGGCATGTGGCTCGTGCGTCAACAGGCCTTTCTGCGCACGCAATATAGGTAAAGAGCGCACGTGAGTTACGGTGCAACGACGCCTCTTTTTGGATGGTCTAGTTCGTGGAAAGACGGCTTACCTGCTGACAAGGACGCTGGGGATTGCTCAGCAATACAGCAAGATCCGTTCTGCGCTACAGGCTGGCCCAAACACTTTCCTACCACTTTCCAGCCTTCGAAAGACTGAATGCACACCTTATCAACCACATCAATCAAGGACATCATGAGCCGAACAAGAGATGCCGAGGATTTGGCCAAGTTTCTGCGGAAGAACGTGCTGACAGAGAACAAGAACACGCCGAGGCGGCAGAGCAACGAACTCAGCTTACTTCACTCAACGAACACATCCCTGCCTGTCATTCCCTGGCTTCTGCCAAATTCACCGTCGAAACAGACCGTAGACTGACTTCTAAGGGCTCCATCACAAATCCGCGGAACAGGTTGTGTCTCGCCAGTCTCCGCCCATAGCTCGACTTCGCGCCAACTGAGCATCGCCTTCGGCACCCCCTACTACACTCCCTTGCCGACCGACGCTGTTTCGAGAGCACATCGTTCCTGTCCGGCCGAAGAAGCAGGATCGCGAAGCGCAAGACCACTGACGAGAAGGCCGTCGAGGGCCCCGTCAAAACAATCATGGATGAGCTCAAGAAGGCAAAAGAAGTCCAAAGCGCGTTCGATTCAGTCAACGGACTCGTCTTCGAGAACCACCTGCATGCGCTCAGCGACGCAGCGGCGGACATCGTCGAACACAACCTCCCATCGACACCTCCCTCCACAACGCACAATAGCAAGTCGATCTCCAACAGTTACGGGCCGTTAGATTTGCGTCTGCCGTATCGAAGACGATGACGACTCGAGCAGCTCTTCGATGCTCTATATTCCCGAGTATAAATCACTGCGTCAACTTCCTGCGCACCACCTGCGCAGCACCTGTGCTCGATGAACACACACGAGGAAGTGGTAGACCGGAAGACAACATCAACATCAATTGACCCAGACGCGCGGTTTCAGTATCACGCGGAGAGGCTCACCGCAGTCGCCATCACACGCAGACCTGTTACTAATGACCGAAGGCTTGCTCGAGCACGGTCTATTGACGACGGTTGAGGCGATCGTGTTCGTGAGGCTTGACTGGCGCGAGTCCGAGACGCTTTCCTTTCATTTGGCGGAGCCTTCTCCGGAGGTGGAAGCCCACTTCAAGCATGCCGACCTCCGTACGGCAGTTGCTCCATACTTGACCTTTAGTTTGATTGCTCTCGGCGTAGCAGGTGAGAGGTATGAATGCCGCCATCCCCCATAGCATGAGCAACCCAGCACAATTGTACGGCACGAAACGCCCCCTCCCGCAAACTGGCAAGGCTCGACATCACTTCCTAGAATGCAGGTAGATGGCTCTCAATTACTGAAGGTGTAAGTGAACTGCTGTCTTCCAAACCGCTCCCTGTCAACTCCAGAGCTCGCCCTTCAACTTTTCCGGAACAGCCTCTTTCGCAACACATGAAGGGTACACTTTAATATTCGATGTCTCTATGGCTTTCTCATGGATCGCAATGCAAAACTTGCCTCCGTTCTCTCGGACGGCCTCGCGTAGTTGTGCCAAAACCGCAGCCAACTTGCGAAGTTCGAGTTGGTGCGTTTCCTCCCAACCCG